TTACACTCCAAAAGATGTGTTTCATCCCCTCTTTGTGCATGTCGAGGAGCTAACGAAACAGTAAAGCACTATTTATTAGATTGTTCAACGTATGTTTTAGAAAGAACCGATCTGCTATCCGGTTTAAACTTCTTGCCTTCTGTATCGGTGGCTAGTTTATTGGGAGTTCGTGGGAGATGTTTGGGCGAGAGTCAAGTTATTCTAAACGAGATATGCCGATATATACTACGGACAGTGCGATTCTGAGAAGTTTCCGTTTCCTCTCGCTGCCAATATAAGTAGACAGTAGAAGTGAATATTCCAAAATCCGAATGACCATCTCGTGCGTGAGCTTTCTCTTTACCTTTTTATTTTTTTTTTCCTTTCTCCTTCTAAGCTCATTATACGTTCTTTTTTATACATTTTAAGGCGCACATATGGCGAAAGCCGCTTGCGCAATCGTTCTTTTTTCGTTTTCAATAAAAAAAAAAGTTTATAACAAAAGTTCAACGTTTAGACGATTGTTTAATTCAGCAAAGTTTCGAAATCAACAAAGACAAATTAGTAGTAGATGGCGATACCGCAAACTTAGACTATAAAATGATGAGTCATCGGGTTAACGACACCAACTACAAGCCAAGAAATTTTTCATAGGCGATGGTGGAAGTGAAGCTGATCTATTAATTAAATAATTTTAAAACTACGGCTAGTGGACTAAAATAAATCTCGTCAACAGAAAAATAAGAACAAACTTCTGAGAGGGTGATCTTTCCGAAGCACGAAAAAATTACTTTAACCGCATGGTGTAATGACTCTTCCATCTTCATTCCCTGTCCAATTTTTATTATTTTTATTTTTTTGTTTCATCTCTTCTCCCTTTTCCTTTGCTTTTGATCTTTTACTTGTTTTGTCTTTCTGTACTCTTGTTCATTATTGGCAAAATTGCTCGTTTATAGTGCTACAGTGAGTCCGTGACTCTTTGCATTTACTTTTTTCTTTCTTTCAATAAAACGTTTAGATAAAAATTCGTCTGGTTGTCTATTTGGTATTAATTAAATTATGAGAGTTTAGTATTCTCATTTCTTTAAGGAATAAATAACATAATGTTGTCTGTTTTATTAGTAATATAACTAATTAGAAAAGCTCTAATCATTTATACGTACGTAAATATTTGCACCATTATTAATCAATAATTCTGCGTATTCATAGTTCTCGTATAAGACAGCATGGTGTAACTAGATGGGAACAAAGAGAAAAGAAAACGAGAGACAAAAATAAAAGTGAATGTTGAAGGTGGATTAACGAGGGACGTCTCCAGGTGTCTAACTCCGTTTGAGCTCACATTTTGTTGATCGATAGGACACAATAGTGTAACAAAAAGGCTAAGAGGATTTGGGTTATTGAGACTTTCTTTCCGAGGTACGGCTGATTTAGTGGAATTCGAGTTTTTGGTATTTTTACTGTAACGCACTATTTCAATGGGTTAAACAGGCGAAACTCACAGTAATATCAGTCCTAAGCCACTCCCGTATACTTCCGATCATAGTTTTGCATCCTTCGTGAGAAATTAAATTTTCTGTTTTTCAGAGGACATCTGCCCTACTTTGCGACCTGCAAATGAAATAATTTTCTTTTTCGTTATGAAGTCTGCTGTGACACTCATAAGTTGATAAAAAAGCATTTATTATCTCTACTGGACTGCTTTTTAAGTGTTTCCGCTATTGAATGACAAGGTTAGAATTTCTTTTCATCTGTAGGTTGCAAGGCCGTGCAGATACCCCATGAAAAGCAGAAAGTATAATTTCTCACGAATGAAGCAAGACTAAGATCGGCAGTATACGGAAGTTGCTTAGGACTAATATTGCTGTGAGTTTCGACTGTTAAAGAGAGAGAGGGTACCACCTCTACAACATGCCCTCAAATTTTGTGAGTTTGTAGGGGGTGTAACGGTCACGGAGGCCCCGTTACATGAAAACTGCGGAAAATACATGGAAATCTTAATCCGTCTGTAAGGATCGATGAGCTTGTAACTATATGAATACTAGAAACAACTTGTAATACAGTCCCGAACCTTTTTGTGTACGCGTTCCATGGAAATGAGAGTGTGGTTGTTGCTATACTCCGAATGGCTGTACTCCCTGTATAGAAAACATCCATCACTCTCATCCTTCCTATATTTCAACTTTTGTACTTTAAGCGCACAAATCATTTAGAGAAAAGATTCGGATCGAAATTATTAACCGTTATTGTTTTCCGGTACGAAAACAATAATTGTTATAATTTAATTTCCATTATTGATAATTGTTTCTTTAGTTACAAAAAGTTAACTTGTAACCAACTTTTATTTTCGATCATTCTTGTACATTTTTTGTGGTCTAGTTCAGACCTAATTATTATTTAGTTTTCTTTCTTTAACTTTTTCAACTTGTCAAATTCTTGAGAAAAATAAAATATTAAAAATTCCAAATTCAAACTTAAGTGAGCGAAGTTGTAGAGCGTCTGAATACGTACAGCGCTTACAAATTGGTGCCGTGACCCGGGAAATTTATAAATAATTAATCCGCTCATCTCACTCTCAAGAACTTTGACAAATTTTTGGTGATCAATATTCACGCAACACACACAACATCATACAACATATATCAACATACAACATCACGTCGCATTCATCCGTATCCGTTAGTTGTTCCTATCGTTACATTGTAGAAGATTTTTTAAAAGAAGAAAAAAGGGAAATATATATAAAATAATATTTTAAAAGAACATTTTTATCAAAACAAGACGTTCGTTCGCTGTTGCCTTCGTTTGAGAAGAAATCGTCCAGAATCTCAGAGTACGATGTCCGAGTCCACAAAATCTAAAGCTGCTAAGATCCTTGAAGCTGAAGAGAAAGTTCAAGAAGTATTAGCTCATATTTCTCAACAACAACTGCTTCCTATCCGCAGTAAATCAGAGCGAAATCGTTATGAAACATGGTCTAGCTCTGATATGTCCACATCAGCACCTGCGGCATTCACTGGTTCAACAGTTGCCACCGTAGTTCCTGCTGCTATCGCATCAGCATCACAGCTTCCAAGTCATCTGCAAGCTCTGACGTTAATCACTCAACAATTAATCGCGTCAGGAGCTGGTGCAGCACTTTCTGCTTCAACCTCGTCATCCAGAGCTGCCCTACCACAGCATCAGGAATATTGTCCTAGGATGGTGGATTCACAACATGTATTATTTCAACAACATCCATTATCAGCAAATTCGTATAGGAAAACAATAAATCATCCATTACCACCATCAGAACCACCACTCACACCGGTGCCAATGACATCACATACAACATTGTTGATAGAACAAGTTCGTCAGTTACAACACGAACTTAAACAAGAAAAATCAAAGAAAATACAAGTTCTATCAGAAAATCAACAATTAAAATCAAAAGTTGGCCGCCTTCAGGAGGAGAATGCAACTCTAAAGCATTCTAGTTCATCTATGTCAAGTAAACATTCATATACTCAAACAATTGATGAATTTTCCTCTGGAATTTGGGATGAAATTAATCCTAATTCCAAAGCTGCCGCCAAGAAGTCAAGGAAATCAAAAAAATCAACAAAGAAACTTGATCGACATTCATTACCATCCACATCAACTGATGATGAAGAGATAATATCAGACCATCATCCACAAAAATCATCGAGAATTTTACCACCATCAACAACACCTATGTTGAATCTAACAATGTCCATATCCGATAATATCACAAAATTCGGAGGGACAACAAAAGAGGCTCCAGGCCGATTCATTGTAGAATATCAGCAAAAAGCAAAAACTGCCTATGGATGGTCAGATCAAGCAACACTCAACGGAATTAGTCATTGGCTAACAGGTGCTGCTGCTGAATGGTATCAACAATTAGTGCAAAGTGATGAACTTCCAGCCACCTGGGGTGAGTTTGTAAAACTATTTCAAGCTCGGTTTCAATCACCCGAACGGATAGAAGCTCTAAAAATTGAAAGAAATCGTTGCATGCAGCAGTCAGATGAATCCGTAGCAGATTTCTATCAGAGGTATAAGGGATTAGCATTAGAAATTGATCCTAAAATCTCAGAAAAAACGCTCAAAAGGCACCTCCTTCCGAAGCTACGTCTGGATCTCCTTCAACTAATGGGCGGAGTTGATGCTGATAAATTAGCGTTGCCGCATCTGATGAGAACAGCAGCTAAAGTTGAATTACACATGCTTCAACGAAAGAAAGGAGCTCAACAGAGAACGGGCGAATTAGTAAAATCTTCCACGGCAATGAAGTCTTCGGGAAATCAGGAACAACGAGAAACCTATTTATATACAACAAAAAGACGTTCAACTAATCCTGACACCGTAGTAGCTGCCATTGAGTCGAAAACGCTGCCACAAACCAGTTCTCTAGAGCAGCCGTCATTTTCGTCAGCTGTAAATCAACAAAGATCTCCAGCGAATAATGCAGATACTAATAAAATTAATCAAGAGTGGTGGAATCGAAGACAGAACAACAATCATAATAGCTCTAATTCACCGAATGTCCCCAGATGGCAACAAAGAAATCCTGATCAAAGAAACCACTCAACAGCACCTACGTGTTCAAAATGTGGCAGGATCGGGCATTCAACAAACTATTGTTTCTCCGATAAAAGTTGTACATACTGCGGACGAATCGGACATATCGAAGCAATTTGCCGAATTAAACAGAGGTCCCAAAAATCCTCAAATTTACCTCGACAACATACGAACCAACAACATTTAAACTAACAAGGAAGAGGTTCAATGAGGATACACCTACTTCCATATCTACAAAATCCTCATGCGTTCCAAGATTTGTTGATCCTCAGTCATCACCTTCGGAGGATAAAATTGTATCAAGGAAACGAACTCAATTCAGTGATGGTGGAAAATCCGATGCAATAGAAGCGTTGCGGAAAGTTGGTGTAATTGGCCGTAATGGAGAGGTTTCACCAATGAATAAGCAACAAATTCTATCTATGTTCAACAACATTCATAATTCCGATTCGAAATCAGTAAAAGACGAGAAGAATGATGCAACAACAATCACCGCAGATGACTCCAATGATGATACCATGTCGGAGGAGGATGCACTAGAACAAGATGTTGAAGAAGACGATGATGATCCATTATGTCCTGAAAAAC